GTGTGTGTGTGTGTGTGTGTGTGTGTGTGTGTGTGTGTGTGTGTGTGTGTGTGTATCTGCTGCTCTGCTCTCCGTTGGCCTTTTCTTTGAAGGGGGGTGACACTGGGCAGAGTGGCATACTGGGTTTGGAATCAGGAGGCGATGTTGTCTCTGGCCTGATGGTGACCCTGCACAGGGCATTTTGGAAAGTAGAAGGAAGTGCTTTGTGAAATGTAAAGCAGTCAGCTCTTTTGGCCTTGCCTGAAATAGCCATTTGGGCGGGGTGGGAGGGAGGGGGCCAGATTTGATTGCCAAGTTGGTTAGAGATGGGGTGGCGCTGTTGATTTCTTCTGTCATGGGGCAGCAGTCACGAAATCCTGCCCTGCGTAGACTGGAGCTCTTAGACAGCTCTCATCGTAGGGCATGGCTGCCCATGTGGGGCAGGAGTTACGGGGTCTGGACCTTGCTTCAGACACTGCTAGCTGAATGATCAGGGAGGCGAGTCGCTGCTGCGTTTCGGTTTCTCCATCTCATCAGAGCCCCTCGCTCACAGGGTTGCTGGGAGGCTCAGATGAGACAAAGGGCACACGACAGCAGTGTCAGCTCTTTCTCTTGGGTTGATGCAGCCATACCAGGCCCTTTCCTGAAGTTTTCAGCTGCCCTGGGCCTTCTGGCTTTTGTCTCTCTGGTATTAGGATGTTTGGGTGGGGCAGGACTGGAGGTCAATCCAAATCTGTTTGCCTTTTAGGAGCTCAGCTGGAAGGTTGCCTTGGCCTTGGCTCTCTGTGGACGGCTGAAAATGGCCAGCAAAGGGCCCACGACCTCGACGTCCCCTGAGAACTCCAGCGCGGGGGGCACAAGTGGCAGCAGCAGCAACGGCCCCGGCGAGAACGGCAGTCAGGACAGCACCTTCGAGTGCAACATCTGCTTGGACACGGCCAAAGACGCAGTCATCAGCCTCTGTGGCCACCTCTTCTGGTCAGTATTGCCGCTTTCCCACTGAGCCCCAGGGGGAGGAGACCAGGAAGCTTGGGCCCGCCCCAGGCTAATTCAGAGCTCTTGAGCTTTTGGTTTGGGGATGATTGTGGACAGCCACGGTGACCCAACACAACCAAAGCCTTTTGTAAACCTTAGGATGTTTGTAAATCCCTGGAGCCTTGCTACACTGGTTCTCTTTCAGTGGAGTGAGTATCAGACAGGTTTGTTTTAGACCCTGTTCAAGGAGGTTCCTTACTGGGAATTCCAAAAAGACCTGGTTCCAGCAGCACATTTGCCCCTCTTGAGGCCCGGCCTCATTTCTGCAGTAGCAATCAGGACATCCGGCCAGCCAAGGGTAGAGCTTCTCTTCAGATCGGGCCTGTGCCTTGTAGCTGAGCCCCTGCAGAAGGTCCAGGACAGCAGCAGAGGAGCCTCAGTGTATCAGAAGAGGGGTTTCCAGCTTTGGGGAGGTGACAGTTCATGGTTTCCTGGGGGTACCCTTCCCTCCGAGTGCCCGCTTAGCCTTGCCAGGGGCTGGAGGAGACCCTCAGAGTGGACTCTTCTAAGAGTTCTCGGGCCCTTGTGGAAGTCAGAATAAGTGATCTGCATACGACGGTGTGGTCTTAATTCCGTGACAAAGGATTGCTCAGGTAGTGGGAAAAGCAGAGCTGGCCTGTGGTGTGCTGGTAGTTGTCACGTGGGTATCACATGATCCTTGTGGCCTCTGGGTCTTTGTCCCTAAAGTGAAGGGCGTGGGCTCGATGCTACTAAGGTTCCTTTCCTGCTTTACCAGGCTAGGAGTCTATGACTGTAAATGCTGTTGTGGGTCCAAGGATAGGGAGAGCAGAGAGGGGCTGTGTGATCATCGAAGCCTTCCAGGAGGAAGAGGAGATGTTGGGGCTGGGCTTGGTTTGGTTTGTGAAGATTTCCCTCTGCCGTGGCTTGTGGGCAGCCTTAAAGAGAGGCCTAGGCTCTGAGAGCCCCCACCGGGTCCCATAGCCAGCAGCTATCAGGAACCTGAATCCTGGGCCCAAGATGGGAAGGGCCAGTGCTCTCTCTGCTCTGCCAGATTACCACCTCTCCTGCTGGGGTAGGGTTAGAGGAAGGTGAGGGAGAGCCTTCCAGGTAGGGAAGGAAAGGGCTCTTTGGAGTCCCTTGCTCCGCTCCTCGTTATGCCCAATGCCATGCTCACCATTGCCCATTTACACTGTTGTAGCCACCTTCCGTCCAGGCTTCCGGACGCCCTTCTTCTCCCAGTCTGTCTTAATGCAGGTTACTCTTTGCACCTGGATCCGTTTAGGTCTCTGCTCAGAACCTTCCAGTGATTCTATATCACCTGTTAAAAAAAATTCAGAATGACTCAGTCCAGCATTCAAGGCCCACTCCTGCCTCTCCCATTTCTCTTGCACCACTCCCTCCCTTCAGACCAAATGTCCCCTTCTCATGTACAAGTCCAGCTTCCAGGGTTTTGCTGTTCTCTGTGGCAGGAAGGCCCCTTTCCTGTCTGCTGACTGTAGCCTTCCCTGGCCACTGCTGCCCATTAGCCCACCCTGTAACACCAGGGGGCACTTGACCATTGGTGTTGTGGCCAGCCCCTAACAGCATAGGCTCCCTGAGGGCAAGACGCTGCCTGACTTCTTCTGTCTTTGCCCTCTTCCCGTTCTCTGGCCCATGGGTGGCCCTTGGTAAATGCTTTACAGTCAAGGGAAAGCACATGAGTGGAGATGGCAGGCCTCACGGCCCATTTGTGGGCCTGTCAGTGGGGCAGTAAGCATTTATGGAGTTCCTCTCAGGTTCCTGGCACAGCACTAAGTACCAGGGAAGGGCTCATTGTGGCTGGACCTCCACTGGCATCTAATGAGGGCTGGTGGAAGATAAGGGCGGGTTGGTAGGATGAAGGCCTGGAGACCCCAGCAGGCGGCCTTGGTGTTTTGGTTTTCCAGTGTAGGACACTGGGAACCATTGAAGCCTTTTAAGCAAGACAGTAGCTTTTGAAAAGTGATGTTTTGGAGCAGGGACCATTCCAGGGTGTCAAAGCATAAATGAAAATAATTACATTTTGTTCTGAGAATTTTGTGAGGCCCTGTGATACCAGAAGGGCCCTTTAGTGAGAATAGAGGCTCGTTCTATGGTCCGGGCCACAGACTCAGCCAGCCGGCTGGTACAAGGCAAGTCTTGGCCCTCTCCATCCATCCTTAGACTTCCTTTGTCCTCCCCAACTTCAGGGAATGGGCCTATGGTGGTCTCCAGGTGGGTCTGACCCACCGTGGTTTGGGGCCTCTTCCAGTGGTCGTTGGGAGAATTTGCTGAGTTGGCCCTCGAGGCCCAGGTGTGGGGCTGCATGACAGCCCTGGCCCAGCAGGTAGGAAACAGAGGCCTCCTCTCGGCTCCTGGTGAAGCCGAGAGCTACCGCTTCTCCCTTGGCCCCTCGGCCTGCCCTCCTGTGCCTCAGTAGTGGCAGGGAAGTCCTGTCGGTAGCGTTAGCTCCATTTTACAGATGAAGAAACTGAGGTGAGAGGGATGAGCTGACTTGTCCACTTCTTCCTTGGCTTTGTCATGATCCTTTTTCGTGGTCCTTCTGTTCCTGAAAACCAGACTGGAAGAAGCCCCAGGTTGGGCGCAGGAGACCTGGTTTCTGTCCCTTGACATGTCACTTTAGACAAGTCGCTTCTGGGTCTCACTTTCTTTTTCTGGGAAAAGTGCGTTGGATTAGTTATAGTCGACAGTCACTCTCACACACGGTCATCTTTGTCAAGAGCCTGGTTCACCTTAACCTGCTGGCATAAACCACGTGACCAGCCCACGTCCCCAAACGTCCAACTCTTGACCTAGTGGTTCCTGGTGGGACAGTGAGCCAGGGCTTCAGACAAGCCGAGGCCAGGCAAGAGCCCACCCAGGAGGCCTTGCTTTGTGCCACGCCCCTCCCAGCCTGCTCCACGCCTGGCCTTCCTCTGTGATGGTGGCCATCTTCTCCCTGGAACTGTCACGTTCTCTGACACTAGGAACTTCAGTTCCACCGCATGTCCTAATCTCCTCCCGGGGGTTGGGCCCTCTCACTCGTGTTGCAGTCAAGCTTGGGCTTCTTCAGGTTGTGCTAGGCTTGGGGTGGGCCCAGGACAGACAGGCTCAGCGTCCACCAGTCTATCAGTGAACATTTTTTAAGCAGTTACCATATGCCAGGCCTGGCCACCAGGGCTTACATTTTCTTGGCTTCACCAACCTGTTAACCTTGCTCTGGGATGGAAAGGTTGGGTTGTGTCCTGGTGGAGCTGATGAATTCATCTCTTTGTATATCTGTTGGGTCCCAGCTAACCCTAACACACTGTGTGAGGTACTGTGGGTGACGTGGAGGCCACAGAATCATTCTGAGGTGAATTAGTGCTCCCTGCTGGGGAAAGAGAAGAGGCGCAGGCCCAGGCCTTGCCTTCAGGCAGCTTATGGTTTAATGAGAAGGGGAAAAGCTGTCACGGAGAGAGGGATGGGTGGGTAGAAATTCAAGAAGAGGGATGAGAGATTTCAGGAGGAGTGAGGGAAGGGGGCAATGGAAGGACCGAACCCCAAGGAAGCATGTGTGGCCTCCTGTCAGCTAGAGAGGGAGGCAGCTAGTGGCTTAGGGGGTAGAGTGCCGGGCCTGAGGTCAGGAACACCTGAGTCCAAATCTGACCTCAGACATTTCCCAGCTGTGTGACCCTGGGCAAGTCCCTCAACCTCCGTTTCCTCAGTTTCCTTATCTGTAAAATGGGGATAATAATAGCACCTTCCTCCCAGGGTTGTTTTGAGGATCAAATGAGATAATAATTGTAAAGCACTCAGCACATTGCTCGACACACAGTAGGCATTATATAAATGTTAGGAAGTAGTAGTGGGGGTAGGGGTGGGAGTGGTTACTACTACTACTACTACTACTCCTCCTACTACTCCTCCTACTCCTCTTCCTCCTCCTCCTCCTAGTACTACTCCTACTCCTACTACTACTACTACTCCTACTACTACTACTACTACTACTCCTCCTCCTACTACTACTACTACTCCTCCTCCTACTACTACTACTACTACTACTACTCCTCCTACTACTATTACTACTACTACCACTACTACTACTACTACTACTACTCCTGCTCCTGGGCCCCACATGTTTGTGCTCAGCCTTGTGCTGTGTGACGATTTTATCCATGGCTTAGATAAAAAGAGGCATCCCCAGCTCAGTGCTGAGGAAGACTGGCTAGCTGACAGCGTTAGGGTCCCAAATGGCCTTCGTGGGCCAGGACAGCAGGGGAAGTGTACAGGGCACAGATGGAGGGGCCTGTTATGGGTGTGCCAAGGACAGAATCCCACGTCCAAGGTGGAAGGCCCTCCCGACTCTCCAGGGGGCCACAGGGATTAAGTGGACTGCAGGTCCATTAGGAGGCAAGAAGAGGACGTGGCATTCCCGCACACAAACGTGGGACTAAATTAGGAGAGATGCTGTGTCCAGAACCCAGGAAATGCTCGGCCTGCCTCCCTCTTGGGTAGTCCATTCGGAGCACCACGCCTGGAGGAGGCCATTGACAGGTTAGAAAGTGTCCCAAGGGGGTTGGTCACCGTAGGAGAATAGAGCAAATGAACCAGGGGAAACGTATTGGGAGTGAGGTGCCCTGCCCATGATCCCAAGAACCGCCTTCCAGGACCTCGGGGGGCCGTCATGTCAGAGGGATCGGACAGACGTGTTTTGTTTGACCCGAGGCAAAACCAGAGGCTGCAGAAAAGCCAACTTAGTCTGTAAGGAAAAGCTTCCTCACCATTGGAGCCGTCCCAGAGCAGCATGGCTTGCCTTGGCAGGTCCTGGGCCCACGTGACGCTTGTGGGTGGGTGGGGAGGAAGCGGCTTGGTCAGTGTGAGTCGGGCTAAGTGGGTTCCTCTCCTGACTTTGCTTCCTGGCCCAGTAATTCAGGCCAGAGCGGTCCGGCTGACTTGGCAGTGGTACATTCTGTGGTTCTGAAAGCCTTGAGGAGAGGGGAGGAGCAGGCATGGAGGGGTGGGGCCAGGCAGGACCCGGAGGCCCTCTGGAGCCTCCATGACTGAGGCCAGCCTGAGTCCCTGCACTCAGCGAGGCTTTGCCTCTGCTGTCACACGGGGGCTTGCCCACCAGCCCAGCGCTGCTGCTAACATGCTCTTTTCCTGTTTGTCCCCTCTCTTCCTTGGACCGCTTGCCCCGGGGACGCCTGCAGTTGGCCATGTTTACATCAGGTAAGAAGCATTTCTTTTTACCTTATCTTTCATCAGCTTTTCTTGCACAATAGCTCCCATTGTCCCTGAGGCTGCTGTTAGAAATGGTAATCTCCCCTTTGGGCGCCTCCAGTCAATCAGAAGATGCTCGGTGAACCGAGAAGGGGACCTTTTTAAGGAGGCAGGGGAATTTTACATGAAAGGCAGCAGGACCTGGATTTGGGGCCCAAGTTGTGCGCTGTTGGCCAGACCTCCTTATCTCAGTGCCTCAGTCTTCTGCTCTTTCAAATGGGCCCAGTGATACTTGGGCTGGCTGCCTCACAGGAGTGTTGGTGAGGATGAGGGGGTGCTAGGCAAGTTCTGCTTATGTTGTTTTTGCCTCTGGATTTTTTGAAGAGGTTCTGAAGGAGAAACATAGCTTGGTCAGAATAAAGGGTTTATTGGATCTCATTTGGCCCAACAAAGAGTGTGGTGGTAGGCATGCTGCGGAGCTTTGCTCCTGATGAGCTGCTGTCAGAAGCAAGTGTTCAGATGCACAGAGAGCAGGAGCTCTCGTCCGCACCCTCCTGTCACTTCACCGTCACGCCATCCGATGTGGCCGAGAATGTCACATCCAAAATTCATTAGGCTGGAGCAGCCTACGAGGCATGGGGTGTGGGGCCTCGAAAGTCAGCACAGGAGACGCGTAGCTTATGTTCAGTGTGGTCTGCAGGCTCTTCCACCATAACCCACATTCCTCGAGCGCTTGGGGGACATCCGGCTGCTGACCCGGCCTCGCCCACCTCCTCAGGATGGTCCACCAGGCCCTGGAGGGGGGCGCACTCAGCACCTGACATCTGCCAGGCTGCTGAGGGGAGGCCAGGGCTCTGAGCTGCTGTGCTAAAGGAAGGTCCCCTACAGAGGGGGGCCAGTTGGTGTTTCTTGGGCTGTTGGGCGTGTGGAAAGGAAAAGAGGCACGTGTCCTGGAACTGCAGGTTTAGAAGGGACCCCCGAGACATTTTGTCCTCCAGCCTTTCCTTGTTAGGGAGCTTTTCCTGACCTCCAGCCTCAGTTTGCCCCTTCTGCCCATTGTGCCCGGCCCCACCCTCTGGAGCCAAGCAGAAAGCTTCTTTTTGGAGTGACAGGTCCTGGGTGACAGCCAAACGCTGCCCCTGCCCCCTGCCGCACTAAGCATCCCGAGTTCTTTTAACCCTCATAGGTGCCTTATGTGTCTGTGGGCAAGTTAATTCTCTCTGAATTTGTATCTCCTTACCTCTACACTCAGGATGGGGGCTTCCGAGCTCAGAGGGCCTCAGGCCAGCTCCTCTGTCTTACAGAGGGGGCATTGAAGTGCAGTGTTACAAGTGACCTTTCCAAGGCTCCGCAGGTGCTGAGGATCCAGGTTGAGCTACTGCCCACCCGCCGGGGGCGCTGGAAAGAAAGGCTTTTGTAGGCTTTAGCACGTTATAGTGAGTGAGTCCTCCTAACTGATGTTTTTATTAATAACCAGCATTGATTTATAGAAGGAAAGGATGAAAGGAGGTAGACCAGGGCGTTGGGGGAGACTGGGGGAGTCAGTCTCCTCGTGTGAGCTGACTCAGCAGCACAGCAGCTGTAGCCAAGAACGGCTGGCTGCGGCCGGGCCGACCTCTGGCAGTGGGCAGAAGTGAGGGGCTGAGGGGCTGGAGGAGCTGCACGCGGGGCCCTCAGGTCAGCGTCTTCCCGTCCATTCACTGTCTGTTTTCTCTTTTCCTTTCTTAGTGGTTGGAGACCAGGCCAAACAGACAAGTGTGTCCGGTGTGCAAAGCCGGGATCAGCCGAGACAAAGTGATCCCTCTGTACGGAAGGGGCAGCACGGGGCAGCAGGATCCCAGGTGAGGACGCCCGGCCTCCTGCCGCGGCACACTCCGGCTCTAGGCCGCGTCAGTCCTCCAGACCACGTTGGCTCTCCGTCTTTGTCTGGTCCGGGGCCTGGTGCGGCTGAGGCATTGGGCTTCTCTTGGTTTTTACGGCGTGTTTGGGGAAGCGGAACTACCCTTAAACAAGGATGTCTTGAAGTGTTCACACTGGTGTTCAGGGCCTAACCTTTGAATCTGTCTGAACTTCACACCCTTTTTTTCTTCAGAGAGAAGACACCTCCCCGGCCTCAAGGACAGAGACCAGAGCCCGAAAACAGAGGGGTAAGGACCCTGAGATGATCTTGTCCATCGCATCCATTGCCTCGCCTCACCCTCAGACACGTTTAGTCTGGGGTTGCCATCCAGTTTTCACAGAGGAGGAAGAGGCGTAGAGAGGTTGAGTGGGCTACCCGGGGCAGCCGCCTCACTGCCCCAGCAGACCCTCATCTGTCACTCAGCTCTGCCTGTGTGGGGAGCAGCATGTGCAGCCCCCATCCTTGGGGACAGCCCCCCACCATCCTTGCCTGACCCTCGGGGCTTCAGGCCCCCAAGCTTGGCTCCAATGCCTAAAGTCCTTGGGTCCGGCCTGACCGCGCATGGAGGGCGTGTAGGTGGCTAAGCTCACCCAAGGAAGCAGGTCCTGATGAAATCGTTGCACTTACTCGTGTCACGCTGCCTCCTGTTCCCTGTGGGCTCTAACAGGGAGACATCTCAGCGTAGGGGGGTGGGGAGTTGCTGCTGATCCCTCCCCAGAGGGTTGCTCTCTTGTTAAATCAGCTGATGGGCCTTAATAGGCGCTGCAGCTCCCCACGGGAGTTTGGGGCCAGGCCAGGACTTGGCCAAGTACAAGCCCCCCTGGGTGAGGGGCTGCTTCTCCAACCTGGGCATGAGCCCGATGGCACACGCATGGCCGGCCTCTTCTGAGGCAATGGCACCATCTTGTCTAGAGAACAGTGGAGACCCAGGCAAGGCCACAACTATCTGGGGAGGGGGCACAAAGGAGAATCGGGGGTGCCATTTGTTGTTTCTTCCTCTCCCACAAAGGTTCCCTTTGGTCACTTTCTATGCCCATTTCCACTGACCAATGGGGTCCTGCGTGGGACTTTTCTCAGTTCCACCACAGCCGCCATTGTGGCAATGGGCCGCTGGGCTCTGATGGGCAGAACTGGAAAGGGCCCCAAAAGACCAAGGCTCCTCCGAGGCTTCTGCCCGCCGTGTGCCTCCCTCCCTTGGACCAGCAGTCCTGGGGGAACCACAACACCCCACCACTGCTGGGCAAGGAGTCTGAGAAAGGCTAGCTCAGTCTAGAGGGGGAGGCAGCGGGGGTGCAGAAAGGTCTACACCACCCAGCTCCTTGGGCTCCGTGTGAGGAACGCTGGTGTTTGTGGGACATCAGCCACATATCTGGCTGTGTCCCCCGTCCCCTCTAATGTGTAGGGAAGGAGGCAGGTGATAAGGAGAGGGCAGGAAAAGAGACCAGCTTGGCAGCAAGCATTTCTGAAAGGCCCACTGTGCGCCAGGCCCTGTGCCCGCCCTCAGGCATCCTGCAGTCTGTCAGGAGCAAGGACAGGGTCAGAGACGAGTAAGCATCATTGAGTGTAGACACAAAGTAAATACAAAATGGTGGGGGGGAGGGGAGCCCTGTTAGCCAGGGGATGCAGGAAAGGTGACCTGTGCTGGGGTAGTCTGCCCTGCCCAGAACGCCCCCCAGGCCTCTTAGGCTGCTCAAGGCCTTTTCTGATCCCTACCTCCTGCCAAATTACCATTTCTCCGTATTGTGGATGCCTGTAGATGTGGGTGGGCAGCCGCTCTTGCAGGTCACCCAGTTAGTGGGTATCCTCTGGGAGGATCCTGTTTCCTTCTCTGTAAAGTAAGACTAATAAGGCTCAGCAGAAGACTGGCATTGGGTGGCAGCTCACGGGCCCGGGAACCTCAGAAGTGGGAGGGGAGATGACGGCTGCCCGTGAGGAGCAGAGCAGGCTGGATGGTGGGAGCTGGGCCGCTGCGTCTCCTTCATTTATTTCCTTTTCTGCTACCAGGGATTTCAAGGCTTTGGCTTTGGAGATGGCGGCTTCCAGATGTCTTTTGGGATTGGAGCCTTTCCTTTTGGGATCTTTGCCACGGCGTTTAACATAAATGATGGGCGGCCTCCTCCAGGTAGGCCCGTGTCTGGATGATGATCTGTCATTTCCTGGGTGGGCTGTCCTCTGTGTCCTCTGACTTACTGCTCAGTAAATGTGCAATGTTTGATTGACAGGATCATAGGCCTAGGCCTGGAAGGGACCTGAGAACTTGGCTGGCACAACCCTCCCTTTTGGTAAAGGAATAAAAACTAATTTTCTCTCACACTAGACATCCTCCCCCTCCCTTTTTTTAATTGAAAAAGGAAAGAAAATGCAAACCCTCATAACACGTGCAGGATTGAGCCAAACAAATTTCCCCCTTGGGTTTGTCCCACAAACAAGTCTCCTGCTTCCTAGGCCATCAGCTCTGTCACACCAGCCCTCTCATGTGTCAGACCAGAGCCAAGACCCAGGGAAGCTAGAGGGCGGGTTCCTGGCCACATGGGCCAGATGTGACCCCCAGGTCCCTGACTCCAAATCCAGCACACTTTCTCCTCTACCTTTGGAAAGCTCAGCTTGCACCTTGGCTGCCTGCCGTGAGCCTCGGGCGGGGGGGACCCTGAGGCCTGATGATTGGCCTGAGCAGAGCAGACACGCCATGGGAAGTCACTGGTGTAAGGCCAGCCTCTGCTTGCTCTGTGTGGTGCCTCCCATGAGCTGGCCGCGGTGTGGCCTTGAAGTGCTCCCTGAGGTGGGCTGAGGGTCACACAATGGGGAGTGCTTAGATTCCAGAGAGCCGGGATTCTATCCCAGCTATCCCATCCTTCCACCAGTGCATGGTACAGCCCCCTTTCCCTTAGTAGGTGGCCTTCATCACCTGCTGACGTGGTACACGCAGCCAGGCTGGACTTGAGGCCTTTCTGCTTTAGCCTAGGCCCCCTGGGCCTAACCTGGGAGAGCCCAGGGTCACCTGGGAGAGCCCAGGGTCGCCTGTGCTGCCGGGTTAGGAAAGGAGGGTTATGGTGATGATTCCCTGGTCCAGACCAGTGATTTTTCCAGGGTGGAAATCTCCCAGTGTGGAGGCTTCCTCCCCAGTGGCTGGCTGCAGCTGGTCTTCAGGGCTCAGAAAGTTGCCTGAGGCCCAGGTGTGCCAGAGCCAGGAGCTGAGTCTGGGGCTTCCTGCCCGAGAGGCCTGGCTTCCACATGCTGCTCCTCCCAGGCCTCATGAGCATTCCCAGGCCAGTCTCCTGGAGCCTTTGTCAACTCTTTTGTTTATGCAGATGTGGAAAATTATCTTACACAAAATCCAAGCAGATTCTCCTGATTCTTACATGGTTCTTAGTGTTTCGTTGTATTTATAAAGAAACAAATTTGGTCTTAATTTCAGAAAAAAACTTCTTAATAGTTAGAACCCTCACAGAATTTACTAGGCTACTTTGGCCGGTAGTGAGCTCCCCATCACCAGAGGTCCCCATCATCCAAGGTCAGCTTGCGCCTTGTCAGTTCTATTGGCAGGGGGCTTATTAGGCCCCCTTAGAGGCTGGGGACATCTAGGATGCTGCTGGATAGCAAACAGGCCTTTGGCGGGGTGACTCGGGAGACTCAGCTGGAGTAATGCCAGGCCCCGAAGCCGCGCCTGACCGTTCTCCTTCCTGTTTTCACAGCTGTTCCCGGGACTCCCCAGTATGTGGATGAGCAGTTCCTGTCGCGGCTTTTCCTGTTTGTGGCCCTGGTGATCATGTTTTGGCTTTTGATCGCGTAACCATTTGTCTGTGGCCTGGGTAGTGGGCGGCAGCAGGGCCTCTGACCTGGTTAGCACCCCTCCCCCACCCCCCCTTTGCACCCCTCACTGCCTGGCTCCTGAGCTCACCCCGGGGCCCAGGAATCAACGGGGTCAGAGACACAGGGAGGACCCTGGCTTCCGGGAGCAGAGCTTTGGCATGAAATGAACTAGATTTTGGCTGACGAGTCCCATGTCGGTGTGGTCGCACTCTCGCCTCGGGCCCTGCCTGAGCAGCATAACCACTTAGAGCCCCGAGCCTGCCAGCTCAGAGGGGACTGACCTGAGGTGGGGAGGCCCTGGGAGAGAGGAGCCCCTGTGCTGTCATCTGCACACATCGCAAAAGTAAAAGGAAGGACCAAACGGTGTTCTTTGGAACTCTGGACCTCATCTCCTTAGACTCTGCAGAACACTATGTCCAACAGCAGTCTGTTCCTGACTGCGGGTGTGGACCACCTATGCACACAAGAGCCCGAGGCCAGGGCCCGGGGCTTGCCTTCTGCGCCCAGCCTCCCAGCCCGGTCTTCCTCCCTGCTGTTCCTTATGCTTCCTCAGATGAGCCCCGGGGCCGGCAGCAGCGCTGTCTGAATCAGCACACACTGTCTCTGGTAGCTTGGCGCATTTGAGCGGCTTCCTACTGGGCTCAGGCCTCGGAGAGGCCTTGGCCGCCACCTTCCTTGGTAGAGCTGGCTGGCTCTGCTTGTGGGCTTCCCATCCCCTTCCCGGGAATTGTAGCCAGGCTGGCCTCTCTCTACCAAGAGGGGTAATGGCAAGGGCTTCCTCAGGCCCCAAAGACAAAACTAAACATCAGGGGAAATTTGAGCCACTAATATTCTTTCCAAGGCTTAGTTTAAGCTTCAGTTATTTGCATCTCTCCCAGAAGAATAAAACAGGCGTTCCCAAAGCAGCCCGCCTGGGGCCCTCTGGCCCTACAGGGTAGCGACTCAGCGCCAGCCCTGGCTGGACTCATCCTGCAGACAGCCCAGCAGGGACGCTGCAGGAGGTCGCTGTGGCTTACCAAGCGATGAGCTCTGTGTCTGTCCCCTGGAACCTCTTGGGTAAATGCTCTTGAAAGTGAGGCTTCCTGATGGCTGCTGGGCTTGGGTGACCCCTGCTGCCTCCGGAAGGGAGAGAGGTGCCTTTGACTCATTAATGGGTTCCTTCCCTCCTCATACCTCTTCATTCAGAATCTTGGGAAGAAAGGTGCCTCGGTATAATCATTTTTAAAAATGCTTTTTCTTTGAATCTGATCAATAAGAAGGTAGGGCGCCGAACGGCTTATGATGTACCATCTTGTCAAATTATCTGTCCATCTGTGTCTGTGTCTCCACCTGCCAAATGTCTTTGGGTGCAAAAGGATCCCCGACGTTGCTATGGAGGAAACCCAGCCCTGAGATTTCTCTGGGGAGTCTCTTCCCTCTGGCCCTCCTCATTCTTGAGATAGAAGGTCCTAGAAGGAATTCAGCCCCTCCCTGCTTTTGGGATGGGGCAGACCCAAGCATTAGGTCCAAAGATACCAGGAAAAGGGAATGAATATGTCCCCTGCAACCTTTCTCCTCCCCCTCTCCATCTTCGGACTTACCAAAGCCTGAACCCAGTGTTGAAATGTTCAGAACCAAGTATTCTGTAGGTGTTGCCTTGGCCAAGTCTACATTAGAGAGGATCGTGGAGACTGGTGCTTGGTTGGTGCCTGTGTGTGTGATCAAGAAGCTTGTCCCCCTGGGGCCCCCCAACCTCGGATGAGCCTTCTTCAATTAGCCCTCCAGAATCCCCTGGCCTGGGGAGCTTTTGGAGCTTAAAGCCCAAGGTTGGGGAGTTTCAGGAGTGGTTACTGGCCAGGTGGTGGTCCAGGGCCCCGTCCTTCCTGTGAGAGAGAGGCGGGAGGAGGGCAGTTTGTTTACGAAAGAGGGACGGATCCCTTGGAATCTACGGCAGTGATGGAAAAAGGTTATCCGAATGGAGCCCGGCTCTCATTGTCTTTGAGCTGTGGTAAGCTTCACCTGCCTTTGCCAGGAGTGGGGCACAGAGGCGGCAGCAGCACCCCCAGATTTGGGACTGCTGGCCCAGCCCCGGGGCGCCGTCCCCTCCACCTGGCCATTCAGTGACCTTCTGCTTCTTTTCCAAGTTAATGCATTTTTTCTTCCTTTGGGAGCTGTTCGCCCTTTCTCTCCTTTTTATTCCATTGTATTAGTTAGGACTGTGCTCTGGCCACAGTTAGACCATCAATGACACTATGTACCTTGAGATACATTTGCCAGTTACTAATTTTCACTGTTGTGAAAGTGATTTGATTTAGAAGAAAAATAAAAATGGTTTTACATTGAAGGTGGCTAGGTGTGGATTTGCTGGAGGAGAGGGCTGGGGTGGGTGGGGTCCTGCGGAAGGCACCTTTGTCCCTCCTCGGTGATATCGGTAGAGCACATGAAAGCTGCCTGCAGACATCAGCCTGCAGTTAGATCAGCACAGCTGACTTTAGGGCCTGGAGTTTTCCAATATCAGCCCTACCCTTGGCATGTTATGTTTGAAGCGTACTTTGACTCAGGGCCAAGGGTCAAATTCCTGGGCTCCTACACCTTTGAGTATAGGCGCTTGGATTGTCAGACATCATTTAGTCCAGCCGCCCCCCTTTTATAGGCCTGCAGGGGAGGGAGGGCACGTTCACTCACACAGCTCACAAGAGTGTGCTCCACACCATGGTACGTTTTCTTTAGCTAGGAGCTTATGACATCGGTTGGTGAATCCACCCAAGCGTTTCATGTGAGGAGAGAAGTGGGTTCTTCCAAGGCAGGGGGACTTCTTTGGGCCATACGGCCAGGAGGAGCGTGTGGTGCCACGTGGGATGGACGGCTTTAATGCACTTGCAGACGTCATCATTAACCACTGAGTATGAGACGAAGCAGAGCGCTATCATCCTTTCTTTCCTTAACCAACTTCTAATTCTGTGCAATTCAGCAAACATTTACTTATCAAATAAGCTGAATTGTTGGGGCGGGTTCCTTTTTACGTAACAGCCATCTTGGGATTTAGATATACAATTCCCCCCAAGTACGCCCTGCGAGCCCTCTCTTAGAACAAAGAAAACAGTTAAAACCATCCTGCAGTCACCAAGTCTTAGGGTCAGTGCAACAGTTCATGTCATATGTGTGGGGCCCCACCTTCTGGTCACTACAGCTACTTGGCTGTCAGCTTCATCGACATTACTGTGATCCTGATCAGTGAGCATTTATTAAGCACCTACCATGTCCAAGGCCCTCTTCTCTTGGTCTTCAGGAGTAAGTATGTTATAGGGAATGGAAAAAAAGCCAGCAAAAAGTGTGGACGTTAGCGGTTCTTACTGATACAGAGCAGCTCGCTGAGGCACCTGTTTCTGTTTTCCTCCGATGGCAAAAGTTAATGTAAATTTTGGAATACAACTAGATCATAGAATGTCCCTTGATGGAGCTGAAGTCCATCCTTTCAGTTTACGGAGAAGGAAACCGACTCAGAGAGGGCAATGGCCTGTGTCAGGTTATCTACCAGAAGGAGCAGTGCTATAATGGGGGGAGCCCTAGCTTTGAAGTCAAGAGAACTGAGTCTTGGTTCTGCTGCAGCCCGTGGAATCTGGGGCACTTCAGTCAATAAACATTAAGGGCCTACTGTGCGCCAGGTACTGGGCTAAGCACTGGGGATACAAAAAGAGGCCTTCAGGAATTTTACAATCTAATGGGAGAGACAACATGCAAACAAATATATAGAAAGCAAGCTATGTACAGGGTAAAGAGAAAATACTTAATGGAGGGAAGGCGCTGGAAATAAGAGGGCTTGAGTTCCAAGACAGTCCCAAAAGACGTGATAAAAAATGTTATCTACCTCCAGAGAAAGAACTGATGTCTGAACACAAATGGAAGCATGCTATTTTTTTCTCTTTCTTTATTCTTTCTTTGTTTCTCTTTCTGTCATCTTGCACAAAAATGACTTACATGGAAATGTTTTATGTGATTGCACGTGTATCAGATTGCTTACCATCTCAGGGAAGGGGGAGGTGAGGGAGGGAGGAATAGAATTTGGAACTCAAAACTTAAAAACAAATGTTAAAGATTGTTTTTACATGTAATTGGGGGAAAATAATACTTTTTTTAAAAAGGGACTTGGGGAAGACTTCCTGTAAAAGATGGGATTTTAGTTGAGCCTTAAAGAAAGCCAAGGAGTCAGTAAGCAGAGTTGAGGTTAAGGGTTCCAGGCGTGGGGAATGCCAGAGAGAATGCCTGGAGCTGAGATGGAGGGTCTTGTTTGTGGGACAGCCAGGAGGCCATGCCACAGTGTGTGTAGGGAAGTAAGATGTAAAGAAACTAGAAAGGTAGGAGGGAGGCTGGGTTTTGAGGGGCTTTGGATGCCAAACAGCATCTTAGAGGCAATCAGGAGTCACTAGAGTTCATGGAGGGGGTGGCATTATCAGACATTGAGTTTAGGAAAATCACTTTAATGGAGAGAGACCTGAAGCAGGCAGACCCCCCTCAGCAACTGTGGGAAGAGACCCCAAGGTGATGCTCTCACCCCCGCTTTAAGATCAGCAAGGTCAGACGTTCATCCCCAGTGACAGACACTTAGCTCTTCTGGGCATGAACCAGGTAGGGGGAGGGGAGGAAGGAGAAGGAGCCCCTGTATTTCCTAGACATTGAATAGCAGCGGAGAGTGTCATCTGGGTTTTCACTCTGCCACCTTCGGTTCAAAACCAGGTACTTATGGGGTGCTCGGTGTGGGAGAGAGGCCCTGTGGCTGCTGTAGAGGACACAGAACTGAAGCAGCCTGCCCTGGTGGCTAGCTGCCCTCCGGGGTCTTCCCCCACACTCTTCTTGGTTGTCCTTACCTACCGGCCAAGTCCACAACTGTCTCTTGTATCCGTCCCTCCGATCCGTTCACGCAGCCGTCATGACCCCAGTCCATCACCCCTCACCTGGAGTATTCCCGTGGCCTCCTCGTTGCTTCCCCCACGGCTGAGGCACAGGGCTGATCATGGCACGGCTCCCTCTGGCCTCCGGAATAAAGTGCAGACTTGGGCAGGCCTGTTGCCCAGCATAGGCCTGCCAGCTATTCCTCACACACGACGTGCCATCTTTATCTCCATGCCTTTGCATAGGGTGCCCCATCATGTTTGGGATGCACTTCTCTTTCCTTCGTCTCTTTTACTGATGGCCCCACTGCTAGGTGAATACACTGTCAACCCACTCCCCAAAATTACCTTGTGTTTATTTTATTCACTTCACCTATGTGTGTGTCTCTCCCTATAGAATGTAAGCTCCTTGAGGGGAGGGAATGAGCATTTATAGAATGCCTACTGTGTGCCAGGCAGTGTGCTAAGCACTTTTGCAAATATCTCTTTTGATCCTCACAACAGCCCTGGGAGGTAGATGCTGTCATTGCCTCTATTTAGGCAATGAGAAAACTGAGACAGAGGTTAAGTGACTCACCCAAGGTCATGCCACTAGTAAGAGTCTGAGGCAGGATTTGAACTCAGGTCTTCCTGACTCCAGGCCCAATGCCAGCTTCCAGGACAGGGACTGTTGTTTCTGTCTGTATCCTAAGCACCTGGCAAATAGTAGACTTTTTGGTTGGTTGAAAAACTTCCTAACAGATCTGCCCTGAAGTGGAATGAAGTGCCTTGAAAGGCAGTTGCTGTGTTCCCTTAGGGGTTCTTCAAAGAGAGAGAGACAACCACAGGCTGAGTATGTGGTAGCGGGGATTCCTCTCAGGTGAGGGCTGGAGGCAATGGCTGACGGGTTGCCTCCCAGCTTTCAAATTTTGTGTTGGGGTGAATCATAAGATCTATAGATCTGTAAGAGAGAAGGGAAGAGAGAGAGAGAGAGAATGATATACCAATCACCAGCAGGAAGGTGGGTTTTTAAAATCAGGCAAATGTGGGAGGTGGGTTTGAATCCCCCTCTGCTCCTTACTTCCTTGACACAGCTAGGTGTCGTAGAAAAGTCCCCTCATTTGGGGGACTAAATGAGGTCAAGTATACAAAGTGCTTTGTAAACATCGTAGCTTGTATCAAAGTGAAATGTTATTATTACCTAAGTGATCCTGGGCAAGTCACTTCCCCTCAGTGGGTCTCGATGTCAGCATCAGACCAGGTGGTTTCTAAGGTCCCTCCCAGCCCTATGGCTTGCATACTACAACAGGACCCGGTATTTGTTTAGTTCTTTCCGGTTTTACAAAATACAGTCATTCAAATACAGCCCAGGTTTTGTTTCCTCACAGTCCCCCTGGGAGACAGGGCAGAGGAAATGTTTGTTGGGTTGAACCAAATCTCTGTTGATCAACAGGTGTTAAGCACCTACTGTGTGCTAAGTGCTGGGCATCCAAGTTCAAAGACTTGCATTCTTAATGAGAGCAATAACAAGGGTATAGATAGGTATAGATGTAGATATATGTGTGTCTATATATAGAACTAGTAGAAACATGTGCCACATACTTAAATACAAGGTATTTGGGGAGGAAGGGACAGCCGTGGCAGACCACAGTTACACAGATAAGAAAACAGCAGGTAAGTTGGGACAGAAGATAGCAGTATTTACTGGGAAAATCAAAATGTGGCCTCTAGGCTGAATCTTGAAGGTCCTGAGACAGGGGTGGGGAACCTTTGGCCTCTAGGCCATGTGAGGACCACGAGACAGTCCCTGCCCTTGCAAGGTTTATGTTCTAAGCAATAGCGCATTTCCCCAGGTAAGTCAGTATAACAACAGGTACACAAAATAAACCAAAGTAATTTAAAGGGCAGAGTGAGCTGATAATTGGAGGGATGAGGAAAGACATTGTGTAGTAGATGGGGCCCAAGCCCCATTTTTGCTGTGAAAGAAGTGCGGCCCGGGGTGCCGGTGGGGGTGTTTTCACACTCCTAGCTCTTCCCATGAACTGACCGTGGAGTGGAAGGTCACCGTGCCAGCCCCTCCGTGCGTCCATTCACGGGACAGCTTGGTCACGCGTCTGAGTGAAATCAGAAATCCTGCAGGATCACAGAGCCACTGGACAGAGATGATTCCTGGGAATTATTGGGAGCTCAGATTATGTAACGGGTGAGGATGATATCAGGAACCAGATGCTGTAGCCACAGCTGACTCGTTTCCATCTGGCTCTGCTGAGAAGGTCAGAGTGGGATGGAAACAGAATCGTCCTTGGCTCAGCCTGCCTTGATCCTAGGGCCTGACTGGAAGGATATGAGTAAATACACTCGACATAAAATAATACAAAGTAATTTCAAGAGAGAGACTGCTAATAACTGGTTGGGGGTGGGGAGGAGGCACTTGAAATATGCTCCTAAGGAGACTAGGGATTCCAGGAGGTAGAGG